AACACCGACCGAATCAATCGGAGAGAATCAATCAACCAAAGTAGAGAACAATCGGAAAACTCAAGCTGAGGACTAGAATCAATGGCGTCTAAGGTTATCTCTTCCGCAATCCGTCGAACCCTAACAAAGCCATACGGCGCTGTTCCCCGGCGTCACCACTTGTCGACCGCCGCCGCTGCTGCTACTACTACCACCGCGACGGCGACGGATTCATATGCCGATGAATCGGGGATCGTGATGAAAGGAGTACGAATTTCAGGTAGACCTCTTTATCTGGATATGCAAGCGACGACTCCGCTTGATCCTAGGGTATTCGACGCGATGAATGCTTCTGCAATCCATGATTACGGTAATCCTCACTCTCGAACTCATCTTTACGGTTGGGAAGCTGAGAACGCGGTCGAGGTTGCACGAATCCAAGTCGCGAAACTGATCGGAGCTTCACCGAAAGAGATCGTGTTCTTATCCGGTGCGACGGAGGCGAACAACACGGCGGTTAAAGGGGTGATGCACTTTTACAAGGATAAGAAGAAGCATGTGATAACTACACAGACTGAGCACAAGTGTGTTCTTGATTCGTGTAGGCATTTGCAGCAAGAAGGATTCGAGGTAACTTATTTGCCTGTGAAAACTGATGGATTAGTTGATATAGAGATGTTGAGAGAAGCGATTAGACCAGATACAGGGCTAGTCTCTGTTATGGCTGTGAACAATGAGATTGGTGTGGTTCAACCTATGGAGGAGATAGGTAGGATTTGTAAAGAGCATAAGGTTCCGTTTCATACTGATGCAGCTCAAGCTATAGGGAAGATTCCTGTTGATGTTGAGAAATGGAATGTTAGTTTGATGTCTATGAGTGGTCATAAGATCTATGGACCAAAAGGTGTTGGTGCTCTGTATGTGAGGAGGAGGCCGAGGATTCGTATCGAGCCGTTGATGAACGGTGGAGGTCAAGAGAGGGGGCTTCGTAGTGGGACGTTGTCTACGCAGCAAGTTGTTGGGTTTGGTGCTGCTTGTGAATTGGCGATGAAGGAGATGGAGTATGATGAGAAGTGGATTAAGAGGTTGCAGGATAGGTTGCTCAATGGGGTTAGAGAGAAGCTTGATGGGGTTGTGGTGAACGGTTCGATGGAGAGTCGTTATGCAGGGAATCTGAATTTGTCGTTTGCTTATGTCGAAGGAGAGAGTCTTTTGATGGGTTTGAAGGAAGT